GCATCCCCAATTATGAGAGCAAGGAAGCGGGGGAAGAGTACAGCGGTCAGTGGCTTTCCAGCGGCTTGAAGTTTACATTTCTTTAGCACGGCCGCGTGGATCTTAGTGTAGATGAGGAGGGCGTAATCGATGTTGAGGTTGAAGTAAAGGCCATACATGATTGTCATTATGTTCAAATTCCCTTGGTCGAGGGAGCCTAACTTACATGTCAGGGATCGGTTCAGGATTGAAAAGAACAAATTCCACATTGGTGGGAGGAATTGTCTTTTGAAATCCGAGATGTTTCGTATCTCTTTGTTGTAGCCTAATATCCTTACAAATCTCAGAATGTCCTCGGAGGTTGGTAGCTCGTCATATTGTTCAATTTCGAGCTCTCGTCTCGTTGGAATGCACAACACCTTGGAAATCTTTGCTCGTGAAATTTTGACGGCACAAAGCATATCGTTTGGTGCGTCGATATCGCCCATTATACCATGACTGGCATCGTCAAATTCACAGTTTTGCCAGTACTGTTGAACGTATTTGAGAGGAACCTTTGGGTTTGCCAGAGTGAGAGCAGGTAGTAGAATGCAGTTTTTGAAGAATTCAATCATTATCCYRTACCTGTCATCAWAGAGAGTGTTTCGAAGCTCGATCATGTGATTATTGGGTTTCATGGGGAGAAAGACGATAGTCCTACTGTCTGCTCCCGTGGATCGAATGCGGCTATCGTTGTTGTCGGATTCGTGGGAAGCGGAGGATGCCATTGCTATGGAAGTTTGCAGGTTATTTTGTGTTCGTCAAAAGCTGTTTGCAGGTTTTGAAGGTGTAAAGATGGGAATGGTAGGGAAGATGAGTATTTATAGGGTAGATGGGTGGGGTGGGGGGGTAAGGGAAACGTTTCTTTGATTATTATAATATAATAATCATGAGAAAAGTGGCGGTTTGGGTTTTATATGATGGGATTGGAGGAACGTGAGCCGTCTTGATAGTACGTGCCATAAATGAATATGGACACGTGTCACGCTGGGGTTTGGGAGGGAAAAAAATGAAGCGGCAAAAAGGGGACAACCTGTTTTGTGTCAGGCGCGTGGTTTGAGTGACGTCATAAAAGATTTGAAATGAGGATTCATTCCAAATAGCTTGGTGAAGACGTTTCCCAAAAAAAATTAAAATCTCATCTAATTGTAAGATTAATACTAATTACGAAGTTTTGGTCTTCTAAAAACCCTTGTTGTATAGTTTTTAGTCACAAAAGCTGTAATTTTGTATAATCTTAAAAATATGTTTTAATTAAGATGAGTTTTATTTAAAAAAAATATTTGCGTGGAACCAAAGGAGTTCTGGTTATTCATGACAAAATGAGTGTGTAACCAGAGGATTTCTGGTTAGGCACGACAAAATGGGTGGGTAACCAGATGAGCTCTGGTTAAGCATGATAAAGTGGGTGGAAAATTTAATGTCAATTAAGACAAGTAGAAATGTTGTATTGCTTGATATAGAGAATTTGGTTGACAAACCAGAGACTCTATTGAAATGTAGCAATCCATGTTTATAAAACCAGAGGAGGTCTGGTAAAGTAATCATATGTAGCATTTTATAAAACCAGAGGCTCTAGATTGTAGAACCAGAAGCTCTGGATGGAAAATGCAAGTTTACAAATGTAAACTTTTGCTCCCCCTCAAAGGATGCAAGTAGATATGAATGAAACTTGAGACCAGAGGGGCTCTGGTTATGACGGATGAAGAGATTTGAAGGTTAAGTGTGGAAAAAGAATGTCTTTGGGACAGAGTGGCTCTGGTTGCAAAGATGTTGAATCCAGAGGCTCTGGTCTTTAGAACCAGAGGCTCTGTTGTGAATGATGAAAAAGATGAAGTTAAATATGACTAAGTGTGAAGAGCAAAGAGTCTTTGAGACCAGAGGAGCTCTGGTWGCAAAGACTTTGAATCCAGAGGCTCTGGTCTTTAGAACCAGAGGCTTTGGTTGAATGGAAACACTTAGTCATATAAATGAACAAGGACTAGAGGGGCTCTGGTTTCAAAGGATTTGAAATTTAGAGGTTCTGGTCTTTAGAACCAGAGGTTCTGATACCAATTGTTGATCCCAGATCTCTCAATAACACTTATAATCTAGTTATGAATATCCAAATTATAATGATTTTACGAAGAAAGTTAAGAAGACTCAAAAGTAATA